GGTTTTTATAACATCTGTCCCCATGCCAGGCCCCGTGCTCAGAATGTTCACATAGCAATATCCAATGACAAGAACAGAAAGAAAGATGCACATCGGCTCTCAGCCACACACTGGGCTGTGCGTTCAAGCCGCCGCTCACAGCGACAATAAAAGCCCTCAGTCCTTGGACAGCTGCCGTGTGCTGACTAGGAGTGTTTATTTATTTTTATTATTTTATTTTTTAAATATATTTTATTGATTTTTTTACAGAGAGGAAGGGAAAGGGATAGAGAGCCAGAAACATCGATGAGAGAGAAACATCAATCAGCTGCCTCCTGCACACCCCCCACTGGGGATGCGCCCGCAACCAAGGTACATGCCCCTGACCGGAATCGAACCCGGGACCCCTGAGTCCACAGGCCGACGCTCTATCCACCGAGCCAAACCGGTTAGGGCACTAGGAGTATTTATTACATCACCACATAGTTCACCGAGATGGAAACAGCGGCAGGTCTCAGAATGGGAAGATGAGAATAACAAAAAACAGCGGCTGATGCTTTAAAAATGCGTTTTTATTGATTTCAGAGAGGTCGGGAGAGGGAGAGAGAGAGAAACGTCAATGATGAGAGAGAACCATTGATCGACTGCCTCCTGCACGCCCCCGCCACTGGGGATCGAGCCTGGAACCCGGGCACGTGCCCTGACTGGGAATCGAACAGTGACCTCCTGGTTCATGGGTCGATGCTCAACCCCTGAGCCACGCCGGCCGGGCACAGCTGATGTTTTTACACTTCTTATGTGTCAGGCCCTGTGCTAAGTGCTTTACAGCAATTTCTTTCAAATTTCTGAGTGAACTCTGAATTTTAAAAATACATTTTATAAACATATACATGTCTTTTCTCAGCGCCTCTCCCCTGCCGTGCCCTCAGCATTTCCTATAAAATAATGTATATTATCTATACAATATGTATACAAGTATGTACACATTTATATGTCGTATATAATGTACATTATCTTGCCCTGGCCGGTGTGGCTCAGCTGATTAAGTGTCATCCTGTGCACTGAGAGGTCGCTGGTTCGGTTCCCGGTCAGGGCACATGCCCGGATTGTGGGCTTGATTTCTGACAGGAGGAGTGCAGGAGGCGGCCCATCGATGTTTCTCTCTCCCTCTCCCTCTCCTTTCCTCTCTCTCTAAAATCAATTTTAAAAACACATTTTTTAAAAAAAGAATCTGCCGAAACCGGTTTGGCTCAGTGGATAGAGCGTCGGCCTGCGGACTGAAAGGTCCCAGGTTCGATTCCGGTCAAGGGCATGTACCTGGGTTGCGGGCACATCTCCGGTGGGAGATGTGCAGGAGGCGGCTGATCGATGTTTCTCTCTCATCGATGTTTCTAACTCTCTATCTCTCTCCCTTCCTCTCTGCAAAAAATCAATAAAATATATTAAAAAAAAAGAATCCTTTAAAAATAACTATATACATTATTTTATGGTTGGGGATTGAGAAACTCGTATGTGCGTGCCTAGGCATGTGCCCTGGCGGGAATCGAACCCACAACCTTTGGGTGTACGGGACGATGCTCCAACCAGCCTAGCCACCGCCCAGAGCCAATTGAGCTAGATTTTTAACTGCATTTAACTTTCTTTTTTTGTTTTGTTATAAGAGACATTTATTTAAAGTAATATAGTGGAAACCCAGATGGTTCTAAATTGTACATTTCAGGTTTAACCAACAAAATTAAAATTCTGACGACAGATGCACCCACAGATTTCGACTGCATGCTTGCTGCCTCGCCCATTCTCCTCTTTCTCTCCTTTCCTCAACAACCCCTTTCAGGTACGGTGCGAGGTAGGATGCACCCTCCTCATGTCCTGTCCACTGCTCTTCAGGCAGATCTGTGGGCAGGCCCAGTGCTCGCTTAACACAAAACACCTGTCGTCACACACGTTCTCAGGAAGCCTGCCTATGGCTTCTTTTACATCCTCATACACATGTAGTGTATCTCTCTCATTAACCTCAGTTTATGGAATCCCGCAGGCTGTCATACCATTTTCCTGGCCCCTCCAGCCACCGGCTTGATGCTGGCTCGCCATTTTGACCCAATAACTGTATTTAATTTTCACGAACTAAAATTTAAATTTAAAAACTGAAGCAGCCCGACCGGAATGGCTCAGTGGTTGAGCGTCGTCCTATGAACCAGGAGGTCACGGTTCCATTCCCGGTCAGGCCACGTGCCCGGGTTGTGGGCTCGATCCCCAGGGGGGGGCATGCAGGAGGCAGCCGATCAATGATTCTTTTCATCATTGATGTTTCTATCTCTCTCCCTCTCCCTTCTCTGAAATTAATAACAATATATTTAAAAAATAAAAAATAGCCCTAGCTGGTTTGACTCAGCAGATAAAGCATCGACAGGCAGACCGAAGGGTCCCGGGTTTGATTCCGGTCAAGGGCACGTACCTCGGTTGCAGGATCCTCCCTGGCCCGGGCCCTGGTCAGGGCGTGTGCAAGGAGGCAACCAATGAATGTGTTTCTCCCACATTGACATTTCTCTCTGTCTTTCCCTCTCTCTTCCACTCTCTCTAAAAGATCAATGGAAAAATATCCTCGGTTGAGGATTAACAAAACAAACAAAAACATAAAGAAATGCCAATTTCAACACATTGATTGCCATGTGACGCTCTATTCCTCTGGGAGCGCACTGAGTGGGTACTGCTTGCCCATACCACAGAGGAGAAGACTGAAGCCCAGCAAACCTAAGGAGCTTCCCCGGGATCCAGGCTCGGAAGTAGCCGTGGGCTTTAGCCGGTTTGGCTCAGTGGGTAGAGCATCTGCCTGTGGACTGAAGGGTCCCGGGTTCGATTCTGGTCAAGGGCACATGCACGGGTTGTGGGCTCGATCCCCAGTAGGGGGCGTGCAGGAAGCAGCAGATCAATGATTCTCTCTCATCATTGATATTTCTATCTCTCTCCCTCTCCCTTCCTCTCTGAAATCAAAGAAGAAGAAGGAGGAGGAAGAGGAGGAGGAGGAGGAGGAGGAGGAGGAGGAAGAGGAGGAGGAGGAGGAGGAAGAAGAAGAAGAAGAAGAACAAGAAGAAGAAGAAGAGGAGGAGGAGGAGGAGGAGGAAGAGGAGGAAGAAGAGGAGGAGGAGGAGGAAGAGGAAGAGGAGGAGGAAGAAGAAAAGAAGGGGAGGAGGAGGAGGAGTGGTGGGAGGTTTTGGATGCAGGGATGGTGGCTTCTGGACCCGAGCCCCCTCACCCCACCCTCACTCCGCTCACCGCTGCCGGAACTCCTGGAAGAGGATGCGGTTGGGGAAGCCTTGGCGACAGATGCGGATGCCCTCCAGGACGCCGTTACAGCGCAGCTGGTCCAGCACCAGCCGGGGCTCCAGCTTCCCGGCCTGTGGAGAGCAAGGCGGACACTCAGGGTCAGCGGTGGCCGCACGGGGGCGCCATTCATTGGCCGACAGCCTGGTCAACAATGGTTGGCGATTTCGTGTCGTTTGATCTGTAATTTACTGAGCACCTACTACGTGCCAGGCGGAAATCCCTGCCCCGTGGGAGCTCACAGTCCCGTGGGAGAGACTGGCGGTAAATGTGGTGGCAAAATCCCTAATTAAATGAAATAAACAAATAGCAATAAGTATTAAGTAGAACAGAACAGGAGGGGGGAGAGTAGGGAGGGCTGAATTAGCACATAGGATAGTCAGCCAAGGTGCTGTGTGAACAAAGCTCATACATCATTATTTTTGGTAAAAATGGTAAAAATCTAAACAGTACGTTGCCCGGCCGGCGTGTCCTGGGAGTGACACCCTGACACCACTGAGCTCACCTAGCACCCAGATCTTCGGCTCTAAGCACCATTCTCCACTGAAAACCACCAGGGCTTCTTGAAGAAATGGCTGTGTATGGTACATTTCATCAAATATAAGCCACCCCCAATAGTAAGACACACTGTTATTTTATATATCGCCAAGAAAGCAATTAAACTCTGACAAGCAACAATAAAAATTAAAAACAAAAACCACACAACACTCTGACAAGCTATTGATGAATAGCCACATCCCCACTTCAGAGATGCTAAAGTGTCAGAAATAAATGCATCTTAGATTTGATAAAATATAGTGTCTGCAGACCTGAGAAAGGACACCCACCCGCCCAGTAACCACAGCTGCCTTTTAAGGACAGTGTAAGCCTCAAGCACCTAACTTTGTGGCCTCATTTTCCCTTCTCTATGGGCCTGCTCTTTGATTTTCCCAATTAAAGAAAAAATGTTCAGTGCCCTGGGAGGCCAGAGATGATCTCCCCAAATCTACATGCCATCCCCAGCCCCAAAGGCCATCTTTCCATCCCTTGCACCTTCCATGCTCTGACCTACCACTGGACCTTTGCACAAGCTATTCTCTGCTCAGAATACCACTTATCCTTCAGAGCTCAGTTGTCACCTCCTCCAGGGAGCCCTCCCTGAATTCACCGAGCAGAACAAGCCTTATGCGGTGCTTACCACCCTTACAAATTCAACCAGACGTTCACTGTGGGTGGTTAGTTGCACATCTGTGTTCTGCATTAGACTGTGAGACTAGGGGTTGACTGTGTTTCTCTCCAGTGTACCCCTAGTACCTGGCACTTAATAGATGCTCAATAAAATTTAAGTCCCATGAACAAATGAAATTCCCGAACAGGGCACTCATTCTGGGAGGGGAGCAAGTCCCTCAAGGTCACACATCTGGTCAGAGGTGAGCCTGGCACAGATGTGGCTCCAGCAGCCAGGCCTTTACCCGCTGCCAGAGCCTCCCCGGTCCCAGCCCAGGTCACTCACCCTCTTCTCGTGGTTGGGGACAATGCAGCGGACGAAGCTGGGGTTGGTGTTGCTGAGTGTGGCCATGAGGCGGCTCAGGGACTCCTTGTAGAGCTGTCCCACGGTCCGGAACATGCCCCGGCGGGGGCGGCCACCCGGGGGGCCATCCCCGAGGCTGCTCACCTGCTCCAGCCCCACGATGCCCTCCACTGTGGGAAGAGGAAATCAGATGCAGGGTGAGGAGGGGACCAGGGGTCAGTTTGGGGGCACCGGGCTGGCCAAAGGTGAAGGGTCTTATTATTTATAGGGCGTGGCACTTTACATATGAAACACCTCACACAGCCTGGTAGGGTAGGGAGTCCCAGCCCCATTGGACTGGCGGGCAAACTGAGGCTCGGAAAAAGGGGGAAACTGCACCCCCGACCACACAGCTTAGAAACTGCAGGTCCAGGACTTAAACCCAGGCAGTGTCAGTCCTCTCAAACCCTGACCTCTGACCCCTCAAGCTCTCCGTTTTTCCTACGGGCAGATATGACAAGGACAGCAAATGCTTACTTGGCACGTATCCTCTGCCGGGCACTGTTCAAAAACACTTTACCTCCTCTGGCTTTTTCATAAGACAGAGAGAGTCGCTCCCATTTAACAGATAAGGGAACCAAGTCACAGAGAAGGAAAGGGTAGCCACAAACACAGCACCGCTGCATTGTTAGGAACACCAAACAGAGTCACATTAAACATGGGAGAGAGCCCTGGCTGGTTTGGCTCAGTGGATAGAGCATCGGCCTGCGGACTGAAGGGTCCCGGGTTCGATTCCAGTCAAGGGTTTGTGGGCTCAATCTCCAGCAGGAGGCATGCAGGAAGCAGCTGATCAATGATTCTCTCTCATCATTGATATTTCTATCTCTCTCTCCCTCTCCCTTCCTCTCTGAAATCAATAATATATATTTTAAATGGAATAGAGCCCTGGTGGGTGTGGCACAGTCGGTTGAGCGTTGTCCCAGGCCACCGAGAGGTTGCCGGTTCGATTCCCTGGTCAGGACACATGCCCAGGTTGCAAGTTTGATCTCCAGGGAGGAACATGTGGGAGGGAGGCAGTTGATCAGTGTTTCCCTCTCTCTCTCTCTCTCTCTCTCTCTCTCTCCCTTCCTCTCTCTCTAAAAAAAAAAAAATCAATAAAACATTTCTAAAAAATGGAATGGAGTCTGGCTTTTCTGTGCAATGTGTGAGATAAGGCCACCTGCCTTCACATTAAGCATGTTTATAGAAAGGCCTGATTTCACGGCAACTCTGTTTCTCTATTGTCCCTTGATGGTGTCACTTCAGCAAGTGAGAAACACCCACTCAACTTCGGCGATCCCATCACGCCCGGTTTCTCAGGACCCTGCAGCCGGGCCCCAATCTGCTGCCCTGCTGTCCCCAGCGATGAGGGTCATAGGGCTCCACCAGATCGTCTGCATTCAGGCAGGACCTGGCGTGTGGTGGGGGCTCAGATATAGCATTTTTTCTACCCAGGTTTCAATGCTCCCTCCCACACTTACAGTTATTATCAAAATGATAACGATCACTTATGAAGCTCTTACAGCACAGCTAAGAGCTGAGGCTCGGGGACTCGATATCCTGGGTTCAAATCCCGGCTCCGCCACGTACTGGCTGTGTGATCTCGACCTGGTGACTTGACCTCTCTGTGCTTGATTTCCTCATCTGTGTGAGGGGCGGGTCACAGTACTAACACCTGCCTTAGCGGGCCGCTCAGAGGAGTCTATGTGTCAAAAATCGTAGAAGGGCTTTGCACACAGCGAGGCACACAGTCGGTGCTCATTAAACGCCAGCTGATCTGAGCAATTAGGAAGGCACTGGGTCTGGACACCGCTGAGGGAGCTGACAGGGAGGAAGAGGAAGCATGCGAGACCTCCTTGTGGAGAGAAAGGGGACGGTGTTCACAACCAGGTTCCCGGTCCAACAGGCCCACCCTCCTCGTCTGGCAAATCTCACCCATCCACGCAGAGCAACACCCACCCCCTGGCGGAGAAATGGCAGAGCCGTGCCTCCCTGAAGATCCTGGGGGCGCTGGTGGGAAGGAGCCAAGGAAAGAGAATTGCTGGAAGCCCCGCTGTTCTGGGGGGAGAGGGCCGATGGGGGAGAGGGCAGATGGGGGAGGGGGCAGATGGCAGAGATGGGGGGATGCGGAGGGAGCAGTATGAAGGGAAGAGGGAGAGAAGGTGGCACAAAGAGAGAGAGGAGAGAATTGTTAGTCAGCAGGGCGAGGCAGAGCAGGAGGGGAAGCCTGAATCCCGACCATAGACCTTCACAGCCAGGGAGGCGGCCCCGGTCACCGCTGTGTCCCGCCCGCCAGGGCGTCAGCGTGGCTGAGGGACGCGTGTCCTCTGGGAGGAACTCGTGCCGGAGGGAAAAAGGTCTCTCTCCCCGGAGGTTCCTTCTGTGTCTGTTTTGTTAGTGTCTCTTTGCCCCCCGACCGCCCGGAAGCTCACGGACTCCCTCCACGCTTCCGCCCAGTCTGCTGCGTTTGTCTCTCTTGTTTCATCTGCTTGCCCCCCACCCCCGGGGGTTCCAGGACGCTGGGCACCCAGCTGTGGACTCAGGGCAGCTGTAAGAGGGATTCACGCCACAGTAGGCCCAGTTTCCCACCCCTCACGTGACTTGCAGCTCCTTGAGCCTGGGCTGGCCTGTGGCTGCTGTGCTCAGGGGACCTGGGGGGACCCCGTGCCATGTTCCAGGCTGGGACTCAGGGAGTGCTTTGCTGTTTCTACTTTCCCTCTTGGAACCCTCTGAGAGTCGGCCACAGATGGGGCGGGATGTGGGAGGGGTCGCCAGGGACATCGTGTGTCCGTGAACGAGGCACAGACGTTAAAGACGTGGGGCAGGGGGTGACTTTCAGTCTGCAGGCGCTGACTCTCCTAGCAGGACCTCGTTTTGTTGCCGAACGTCTAACGCTGCATTGCAATCCCTCTTGTGTAAACCAGATGAGACACAGATGTCAAAGCTTCCCTCCTCGAGTCGGCTCACCAGATCGAGGCGCCACGCCCGTGTGCCCTGTGGGTTTGTTTCGGGAACCACTCATCCTGCTCATTTTGTTCTCTTGTCTGGTTGCGTGGGCTGGCGCCTCTACAACTACGCTTTTCACTTCCATCAGAGACTAAGGCAAATCGACACTTTCAGGAAACCCGGGATCGGAAAAAACTAAGATGCTGGTGCTGCCAGTTGTAGCAAATGAGCTCTCAAACCTCCTCTCAGAACGGGGGGGCCACCGATGTGGCTTGGGAAAGCCCCGGGGCCCACCTCACAGGCAATCGGCTCTTCTGCCTGTGCCTCTTACAGAAGTGACATTCCGAGAAGACTAGCGGCAAATTCCCACCGGCCTTTTGGAGCAAGAAAGCTCCAACACTGTATCTCAGTCTGTTGCTATCTTGCTTCTTCCCAGGGGCCCCGAAGGGAACTTTGTGAGAAAGCAAATCAATAAAGGTCGAGCCCAGCCCGCGTGGCTCAGTGGTTGAGTATCGACCTATGAACCAGGACGTCATGGTTCGATTCCCGGTCAAGGCACATGCCCGGGTTTCAGGCTTGATTCCCAGGGTGGGGTGTGCAGGAGGCAGATGATCAATGATTCCCTCTCATCATTGATGTTTTCTCTCTCTCTCCATCTCCCTTCCTCTCTAAAATCAATACAAACATATAAAAAATAAATAAAAGTCTAAAAGTTGATCTACCTGTAAAGTACTCCCTTCTGAGTTCTCTTGTTATTAATTCTTTTCCAGTCAAATATTTTGTGTGTTTGTGTGTGTGTGTGTGTGTGTGTGTGTTTTGGGGAGGGGGTGGTCATATGCCATCTAAAAATAATGTTATCTCTTTCTTTACAATGCTCACACACTTATTTCTTTTTCTCATCTGATTGCATAGGCTAGTATCGCCAAAAAAGTGTTTCACAGCAGTGTTGACCGTGGGCATCCTTGTCTTGTTTAAGGAGCAGTGTTTTATCATTGAACTAGAGGCCTGGTGCACAAAAATCGTGCACTGGAGCGGGGGTGTCCCTCAGCCCAGCCTGCACCCTCTCACAGTCTGGGAGCCCTCGGGGGATGTCCGCCTGCCAGCTTAGGCCCGCTCCCTCCGGGGATCAGGCCTAAGCCGGCAGTTAGACATCCCTCTCACAGTCCCAGGCCGCCCTTGCTCCTTACTGCCCGCCTGCAGCGGAGGCGGGAGAGGCTCCCGCCACCGCCGCTGCCCTCGCCAGCCTGAGCCTGGCTTCTGGCTGAGCAGCGTGCCCCCTGTGGGAATGTACTGACCACCAGGGGGCAGCTCCTGCGTTGAGTGTCTGCCCCCTGGTGGTCAGTGCGCGTCATAGCGACCTGTGTTCTGCCCCTCCAGCGATTTGCATTTTACCCTTTTATTATATAGGATAGGATGCTGGCTTGAGACATCCATCAACCTCTCACTGAGAACACTCCTGTGAGACCGACTGGCCTGTGTAAGTTCTGCACCTGAGCAGACAACTCAGCCCCGGAAACAAGGTGCTCACACTGTGGGCTGGGAGAAGGGACGCCCAGAACTGCAGGGCCGGGGAAGCGGGTCCTCACCGTCTTTCCAGATCTCCGCCGTCAGCCGGTCTGTGCTCTGGTGCAGCAGGGCGGCCACATTGTCATTCAGAGGGTCCATGTTCTTCATCAGCCACTCATTGGCCTTGTAGTCGACCTGAGTGGAGTCGGGCACGGCAGGGGGGTGAACTTGCAGGTTTGGGGGCTCTCCTGAGTTCTCCAAGAGCCCCCCCCCCCCCCCCCCCAAAAATTTTGAGGGTCTGGGTCTGGGGCTCACCCACAAAAACATTGGGGGCACCTTTGGTCCCTTCCTGGAAATGCCCCTTCCCCCCGGATGACCCCCCTCCCTGGGGTTCCCCCTCCACCTCTGACCCCCGCCCCTTTTTTCCTTTTTCCTTTCACCCCCGAAACTTGGGCTTCCATACGTGTCCTTATAAGAGAACCCTCCCTTCCTCCTCCAAAATTTAACCCCGGCCCCCCCCTCAACCTCTAGAGTCATACGAATTCACATGGAGACCGGAGACTTGGGCAGCAAAAAATAATATTTAATATCCAGTAACCCCAAATGTGAAG